AAAGGCCATGACCACGGTGTTGGCCACGATGATGGCGCAAATGATGCTCTCGAAGAGGGGATGGGTCACCATTCCTTTGGACGTGCAGAATTTGTTATTTTAGATCTCTGCAGCCGCGCAAAAGATCCAAAGCTGACAGCATCAATGGGATGGATGGAAACGAAACGAAAGGAGGCATAACGGACACATCAATCCAAAGATTCGGAAGAGCTTGCTGGTGGAGTCCTGGTTGAAGCCTGGCATTCAACAGGCTGAGGTCCACGCGGGGCAGAAGCTTCGTTTGGGCCATATCGGCTTCGTCCGACGAGATTGATGTGGCCCATGGAGTGTACCATTTGTGAGGGTTGAAAGTCCAAATCTTGGGCTCTCCCCTGAAGTACACATCATTCGGAATCATGTTTGTGTACCGTGTGCAGCCTCGAAAAATGACATTGTGTGAGTTTTGATCTGCGTCATTACGTGTTGCTCCTTGCCCTTTTGCACAAAATGTGGAGGGTTGACTGACCCTAGCGCTCCAGTCGTGCGTTCTAAGAAGGTGTTTGGAGTGGGTTTAGAGGGTCCAGTCATACCTTCTGAGGAAGTACGCCAGGAGCCCTAGGATGAATTATACGCCAGCAAAGCGTCTCTTGTTGAGCCACAGCGAGGACGCGATCAACCCACAGCGATCACCTCTCATCATCCCATGCAAAAAGCAGCATGGCGCCTGCGAGGTGGAAAACCAATTGCATGACATTGCATGATATCTCTTTTAACAAAAAAATTGAAAGAATGCACCCCCCCCCCCACAAACCCACCACCAACATCCACCAACTCACCCCAAACACAACAAACACCCACCAGGAGCAGACCGCAGACCTTTTGAACACCCGGAGCTGCTCCCGTCGTCATCGCAGGCCCCTCTGAGCGACCCCACTGGCTGAGCGCTTATCCATCTTGTCGAAGTGACTGCCCTTGGCGGGAAAGGCGGGGCTTCAGACGGAAAGCAACAATGTAATTGGGGGTAGTTATTAAATCATGCGATAGAAACATATAGAATCCAACCAACAATGTGAACATGACAAGCTACAGCAATGCCTCTGATATTTCATCAAGAACGGCAGCAACCCATTGGAGAAATCAAGGCGCGTAAGCCCTTTTCTTCGTCTCGTCCTTGCTATCCCGCTTCACCTGGTCCGCCGGCCGCGATCTGTGAGGAGTCGAAAGGAGTCAGTCCCAGTGGGCGTGTCAGTCCCAGTGCGTGGCAACCAGTGTGGCACTGTCTGTGTGCCCTGTACAGGCGAGTCATTCCAGCGAGATCTGGACCCTGGCGAAGACAAACTGGGCCTCTTGCTGACCTCTGGACTCACTGTGAGCCTTGTTGGCATGACAATCTCTGGCTCAGGGAGATGATCTATTGAAGTCATCCTGACGGATTAGACGATCATCAATGTCTAACCTCCCAAAAAGGAAGATCAATCTTGAGGGCAGCAGGGGTAAGCAAAAGCCAGCAAAGAGCTCGGGATCGATTCGGAAAGAAACGACCCGAGAGCAGTGTCGGAATCGCGAAGTCCGATATGTCGGAGCTTGCTCCGGAAGCGACTGACCAATTACAGACCACTTCTTGCTAAAGCAAAAACAACTTGAGCTGCATATATAATATAGATATATAATATTATATATGTATGTAATTATATGATAGAGCTTTCGTAATTATGCCGTATGTTTTCGTGATGAAATCAAGGATTCCTAACATGAAATGGAAACATTCTTGGGCACCTGATAGCACCACTGAGTCAAACTTCCCCCAAAGAAGGCGCCGAAGCCTTCGGAAAGGGACGTGAGACCCCCAGATCTTGGGTGGAAACACCTAGTAGTTTTTTGCTACTACAGTAGTGATGGCCTTCAACCTACTAGCTTCTTGTCAGTAGTAATGGCCTCCAACCTAGTAATAATGGCCTCCACCCTAATAGCCTCTTGTTACTAGTAGCAATGCCGTCGTGAAACATCCGACCTCCGGGTCGATGGCTCCGACAAACGGCCGCCTTTGCCCCCCGCCTTCGTCTGCCCTTCGATGCGGACCACGTGAAACTCAGGCTTCTGACCACTCTCTTTGGCCTCGATGGCCAGGCTCAGCCGGAGAACCGAGCATCTCTACAGGGCCACAGGGACACAGGCAACTTCTCCACACAATTGGTTTTGTCGCACCAACCACTAAAAATCCTCAAAACATACTGACACTCCCACTCATGTGATCTCATGTTCACATGGAATGAAGTGGTGGCCCCAAATTGCCAAGGAAACCGCTCTTCGTCCTGATTGCATGTGAGCCGATCCCATCAACAGTTCGAGTCCAACATGTGACTCACTGATGAATTGCTGCCGACTCGGCAGACCAAGTCGGTTTTTCATGGTGTGGGGGGGGGGTGTAAAAAGGGGACAGGTCTCTCTCAACATCGGTTCTTCCTGGGCATTTTCGCAAAGGCTCTTCCTTGGAATTGCTCACACTCCGGTCCAGTGGCTCGGTCGCCTCAGCCGCAGATCAGAACGGATGCGTCAGAGAGATCTTGCATAAATAAATAGGTGGACACAGTAATATATATTATGTATAAATATATATATATTGTACACATGACATGTTATACACATATTATATATAATAGATTACGGTATATCGGTGGGTGGAACTTCGAAAAAACCAGTGGGATCGAGGCCAAATGAGGCCAAAGGGTCATTCTGAGACTTTGTCTTGGCCCGGCACCCCTGAGGTATGACGTTCATATCCAGCATCGAGATTGATCTGCACATCCTGCCTTGGTTCAAGGAAGAATTCGGGTCACGACGGTCATGATCAAACAGCTCTGGGGGACCCGAAAAGATGGAAACCTGGAAGAGCTTCTAAACCGAACAGATTGAAGGGACAGACAGGTGGACAGAGGTGAGCAGTTAGGAGATAAGTAGGGGTGTTTTGGAAACCTAACAAAACAACAAAGAACTCCCCCCAAAATCGGCCATGTTGGTAGTTTAGTAGCGGCCTTAAAGGGCGATAATATGCGATAATTTATCGTATTTAGGCGTCTCCGATATGAGTTTGTTTTTAATTAGGGAGCGTTTTGAAATAGGTACTCGGGATTATGGTCTCCAGCGACTTTGGCCTCTCTCACATTGAATGCTTGACATTAAAATCTATGTCATGCTTTGATCCATGTTCATGTGACATCTATTTTGCTGCCCAAACATCACTATCAGTCCGGCTGTTTCAACAGTGCTCCAACCAAACATAAACCCCTTCTCCAAACTACGGTCTTTGTCAAGTTGCGCTGGTGCTTGAATCTTCTCTGCTTGACGCAAAAGCCTCAGCGTTTCCGGTCTGTCAATGTGCATCGACCAAGAATATCCATTGGAAACGACTACCCTGCTTGGCGAGTGAACAAGAAACTCTTCGAAACCATATAGAAACACCTGTCAAGCTTTGCATCTTTGGACACCTTCGGATTCCCAATGCTTCCCATTTGCATTGCCCCGACTCTCTGGGGCGGCCGAACATGTGAAGCTCCTGCATGAGCTCCGTGTGGCGCATGGCCATTTCATCCCGCTCGCGGCGCAAGGCAGACTCCAACCTGCCCAAAATGACGAGTCTTGTCTTGTTTAGGTTTAATGGGCCAAGAAATGTGGGAACGACATGGAAAGACATGTCCGAATTCGATGTCCATTGATGTCCTCGATGGAACCACTGTAATATGTTATCTCCATGCGTCAGATGTTTCTTTCAAGCTATTTTAAAGCTGGTTCCTGGCTGGTGTTCGAACCGTGTTCAATCAACAGCGATCAACAGGCAAAGCATCCCGATCATCCCTGTATACCTACCAGTACCAGCCTCCAAAGCCGTTTTATTACAATATATTACAATCTTGATTATCCTTATTCCAGCTGGTTCGTCCGTGCCGCCAAGGTACCAAGAATACACTTGCGGCATAGCTCCCAAAGCTGCAAGAGCAGCCCAGGATGGCGAGAATAGGTCAGAGGAAATCAAAGTGCTTCGACTTCGAATCGAATTGAAAAAACCCATATATATATATATATCATGCGTTTTCTGTAGCTTCTGTGTAGGCTAGGCATGTTTCTTGGCCACTAAAACCGCCATGACGAATCTGTTGGCCCAATTCACTTCTATTTGGCCAGAGTTGGTGGACTGGGTCAAACTGCAACGCCTTCACACCACACTGTTGAACCTTGGCACTGGGGTCGAGCCAGACACGCAGTCACGCAATGTCACGAATAGCCGCAGCCGCATAGTGGCCAAGCAATACATTGCAACGCATGAGCCATTGATCACGCGACGGCAAGCCGCATAGGCCAGGCAAAAATACAATGACACAAGGAACCAGTAATGCGTCAGTGTCAGTTGCTCTGGCGCAGGTCGACGTGCTCAATCCAAATCGACCGTAAGGGCATCCTTTGCAAATGCAGATACAAGCAAACACATGGGAAGCCCCACCAATCTGTTTAAAAGCCCCGGAACAACAGATTGATGGTGGTCACCAAACTGAAGGGCAATGCCATGCAACCACAAACAACGGGCCCACAGGGCTCCTGGAGGGAGAGGCAGGAACCCCCATCAGATTACATGCAAGCGGAAGCGACGACTACCAGAAACCAGCCACAGTCGGATAGATGAATCTGGAATGCAGGGGATTGAAAGTTGCTTTGAACACCACTGGGCACTGCTGGTCTTCCCGCTTAGGTACAATTACAGGTCTGGCTCCGGCTTGTCGAAAAGTCTTCAGGAGCTCATATGAGGGTGAAGGACCTTCTCTTCGTCTTGTCAGTAAGGAAGCTTCTGGTTGTAGCCAAGGGTTGCTGCACCTTCAACCAAGAATGGCGACGCCTGAAATTCAGGAGCAAGGAGCCGTGTGACATGTGTGCCCAGGGAATTCCAAAACTCCATATCATAATGTAACAAACAAATACTAGGACGATCTTTCACACGCTTTTGCATCGGCCCTCCCAGCGGTGGGCGGCACCCTGGCAGCATCAACCTTGCTAAAGGCGTCCTCAAGCAGCTCAAAGGAGGAGGGCCCAGCCAGCTCCTTGAGTCGTGGCCGGAGTCGGCCAGGGGCATGGAACGCCACCATTGGGCACGATCCAAGGACAAAAACACATTGCAGGTCACATCAATTGTGGAGCTTTGAAACATCTTAAAACTATTCTCAAGAGTGTTCAGCTTCTAATTGGACTCGAATGAGCGCACCTCGAAATGAGGCCTCCAACTAACCCCGTTACCAATCCAAACCCATCCAAACGTGGCCGGTTTGAGTTATGGAAGCGGTGGGTTTTGCTGCCTTTCACCCACTTTACTTTCCAAGCCATGTATTCGGAAGCCTCCTTCGCCATAGGACATTGGCTTTCTTTAGTGTTTTGAACATGAGCACTCATATTAGGTGAGTGCAACAAGCAGTGGATGCGGACTCGATGAACTCACCCAGTGCAACAAGCATTGTGAGCCAACACGCAAAAAGCGCGCGTCATCCTCCCACACTGGTGTCCACATCAGGTCTGTCGTTTGAGTACTACGTGTGAAAAAGTCTTCGCAATTTCAGGTGTGGAATCCACGTGCTGGATATGACATGTCAATGCCTGGAGTCTGGAGCCCGGTGGATCTATGGGATTTCTAGCACATCGAGGCAAACACCAAGGAAAACCAGCACTTCACCATGCAATGTCTGTGTTTTTGTTCCAAAGAACATGCGCAAAGAGCTTAGAACCAGCAAACACATCAACTAACGGGCCTTACAGCCATTTTTGGGCGTGTCTTTGAGGAATGTCGAAAACCTCTGGCTGTCACTGAAGAAATGTCCAGTTCCTCGTCTGCGAACGTCACACGTCAGAGCCCGGCCATCGACGGTGCCTCCACCATGGCTTCCAGGCGTTTGCCTACCTGAAGACGAACAAACACCGTATTTCCGGCTTCAATCATCTTCAGGTATAGGTTTGGTATCACTACAGTGCGTGAGGTACTTCTGGTTGATTGAGCTGGTACGAGGTGGATTCTGCTTGATGTCAATTACATTCTGGTTTTGTTGCCATGTGTTCAAACGCCTCCTCCTCCGTTTTGGGCTGGTGGATTCTGTCACTTTCGTACATCGGCATCCACCACGCGGCTCATCGCGGCGATCCGTTGCCTTCTGGGCCCGGGTCGAAAAATCTGTTTTGAAGGTGGATTGCGTTACAGTACATGTAGTAAGAAACACCTACAGTATTCATTCCTTTGTCCCAACAGCTTTAGCAAGTGGTAAGTTCATGTGGTAAGACTAAGAAACACCAATTTAGCAAGTTCCTTTCTTTGTCCCCCTTCCCCAACTCCATTGCTTCACCAGGCCACATCGTCCAAGGGAGCATCGCACCTGGCGTAGATCCGGTGCGAACATACAAATCAAATCAAATCAACATGATGTGGTGCGTACATATGCGACTTTATTAACATGTTTAACCTGTCAATGGGTTGAGAACCCAGGCAACACCCAGATTGACTCAACAAATAAATTTGACGCACCCGCCCTGTTGAAACCACCTCCAGGTGTCTGGCTCCTTGGTCTCTGCTTGACACAACGCCACCTGCGAGCCACGCGTTTCTCGGGAGCCAATGACAAGCGGTGCGTCATGCTGAAAGGACCAGTGAAAAAGATCACCAATTCGCACCCAGGAATGGCTGAATGGGCGCCCATCCCAGATATGCTATGCTATGCTAGATTTCTAGAAGGCGCCCTGGGTATCCAGGCTGGGTGTCGATACAGCTATGTTATGCTTTTTTGATCCCGTCCGTGGATATTTGTGCTTTTTCATGGGCCAACCGGGCCCAACCGGCGTAGAATGTCATGAGAGGCTCATGAAAACAGCGCCAAAAGCACGTGCCAACTGCTTGTAGAAATTGCAAGAGGGAACGTTTCAAGAGGTTGGCTGAAGGTTCGAAGCTCCAAACCACAGGTTGCGCAATCAAGTTGAAGAACTCAGTGGCGGTGGAAGGTGCTTCAAATGAATTGCTTCAGCAAAGGCAGTAACATGAAGACTGCGGTGTGAATACACATCTATCATGTTAATGTCACTTGTAGCACTTGTAAAGTTCTATCTGATCTATCCTCTGTGTCCAATCTAATCTAGGGTAACAGGTCTAACTACACCTCAGGATCCATGGATCCATGGTCTGCATATCTCCACTTCGAAGCAACGCTTTCACTGATCAGGCCTTAGGAGCTTCTTCTCGTTCCCATGCCAATGGAGTCCCTCCAGTACCTAGCAGTGGCTAAAGCCGCAAAAGGCCAGAAGCCAAGGGGAATACACATAGTTCACCAAAAGCCAAGCATGAAGCACATCTTCAATTCGTGGGCCTCAACACACATTGAACTATGAAGTCGGGTTCAATTTTCTGTGCCAACCGTCATAATCATAGGAATATGGCACCCTGGTCCACACATCTCAAACAATGAGCAAAAACTGTGATCTATCTATCTCTATATGTATACCGTATACCTGGGTATATTAACCTACTGTATCCCTTTTCCAGTTTCTTGGCGACCAATTTAACTTCAAAAAAAGATGTTAAAATGTACAAACATGGCGGTTTCACAAGAAAAGAATGCTGAATTTCCGGCTGCACACCAGCAGGAAACTATTGGAATCTCCAATTCTACAATGCCTATATATATATATATATGTGAATCCAGGATTCAGTGAATTCACCATTGGTAAGGGAATCAACACTCAAGCACCGACATGCAGTTGAAGAAAAGGCTCTGAGGACTCTATGTAAGCTCTGGAAACGGCCTGTCAACAAAAGCAACTGAAACAAGGCCCATCGTCCAAGGCCAACTGATGAGCTGCAAATCACGCCAGCATTCTGTGCCCCAAAGCCCCAAAAAGGACATCCACATGAAACAATCGAACGAACAGAACACAATGACAGTGATATGATGATATAACATAATGCACCCCAAAACATGGTACCGCCGCTAATAGTGACCCTGTGCGATTCGCACATTGCTAAAGTGGACAGTGCTCAAAACCTCCCATTTTTCGTTTTTTCATTTGGGAGAGTTTGGATCATATGTGCTTTCGTCCCATTTTTCACAAGGGTCAGCACTTGTAAGGTGGAATTTAGACTGGGGAAGAGCAGAAAGTGCACTCTTTCTTGGCGCACACGCGTTGTGCAGGTGTATTTTCTTTACACTTGCGGCCACGATCGGGCCAACGCCTCAAGCAAATTTCCTCGGTTGTTCCACCGAAACTGAAAACTGCGGACATATTGATCGACGCGTTTTGCGTCACGCTGTCACATCTACCACGAAGCATCAACTTCGCGACGCAAGTGCAAGCGAACGTTAACATGCCCCACCCCACCCACCCCACATCTACCACGAAGCATCAACTTCGTGACGCAAGTGCAAGCGAACGTTAACATGCCCCACCCCACCCCACCCCATCCCACCCCACATCTACCACGAAGCATCAACTTCGTGACGCAAGTGCAGGCGAACGTTAACATGCCCCGCCCCACCCCACCCCACATCTACCACGAAGCATCAACTTCGTGACGCAAGTGCAAGCGAACATTAACGTGCCCCACCCCACCCCACCTCATCCCACCCCACATCAACGAGGAAGCATCAACCTGACAGCACCATAAAATCGCGATTGCCTCTGGGGTCGCTAACAGCGGCGATAGCCAAAACATCATCTTCCATGTGCCATCTCAAATCGTCAGGCATAGTCCTTCGCCCGTCCCCCCCAAAGAAAAACGGCATCCCACACCTATCAATGACCAGGAGACCTGTTTTGGATTGTTTTGGAGAGTTTTGGGACCCTAAAAGGATGGATCGCAGGGAAAACATCGACAGCCACGGGCCTCCAGAGAGGCATCCCATGTCAACGGGCGGTGGGCTCCTCAATGATGTGACAAATGGTCAACGATTCCAGGATGCAGGACACGAGTCCATTGTTTTTTCTAGGTCTAAAATGGTCGAAACATGATAGGCCATGCCCAAATAGTTTCAAAAAACAAATGCATCTGTTTGAACAGCTTTCTTCCCATTTTCTGAGTTGAACCAAAGGAGTGGATCATGGAATTTGGTGGATCCGAAGGTTCCAACCTGGAGCTAAAAAGGTCTGCGACGCCTCCACCGTTCGCAGCGATCGCAGGTGTTCATCCGGAGCCCACAGCCACAAACATGAGCCACTACCGTTTCGGGGCACCTGAAACTCATCTCGTTTCGGGGGTCGGGGCACCTGAAAATGAGAGAGACCCAGCCCAGCCCATGTGCCTCAATGAATCTTAATGCCATAACACTAGGGACCCCCAGCAGATTCAGCTCTCGGCTTTCTCAAACCTTCCGAAAGAGGCCGGGCCTGGGAGATGAAGTGCAAAGCTCACCTGTCACATCCGGTCAAAAGGGGCAAAACATGTGCTGAACGGTCTGAACGAAATCATGTCATTTGAAGACATCTATTCAATTCTATTCCACACCTGTCCCTTCCACACATGTCTGACCTTCTTCTACGCTTTGCTTTTGGGATTTTGCACCCTCACCCTGGAATAACTATGATCGCATAGCGGTGGCGGCCCACTTCCGGCTCGGCAGGGGTGACGGTCGATCTATGGAGGAATTGGACTAGAAATTGGCACCCAAATGCGTCAAGATCAAATTGCATGTAAAAACCATCAAGTCTAACGATTGGCAACTAAGACTGGACTGTCTCCTGCAGGTGATGATGCGCCTATGTCCCATCGAGTCCAAGTAATACAATGCAATCAGGTACTTTCCAATCCTGGATGTGAGCTTGGTGTCAAAGTTGTAATAAAGTTCACCAATTCCAACATCCCCGAACACGGCAAAAATCACCAGAAAGCTTGCTCTCATGGGAAACACAAACTGGCCAGAAAATCCACAAATGTTCAGACAATCAACGATTTGAACACTTGGCGAACCCGATCAACGATTCGACCGTCGGGCCAGGCACCCAAGAGCCCGGCCTGGCGGAGGCGGAGGCGGCACTGCAGGCGGCGCTGGCCGTGCGTGGACGTCGGCATGGCCAGTCTCCTGAATGTTGTTCTGTGAGATAAACAAAAAAGAAGAACGGCCCCAGGTGTTGCCAACCTCCCCTGTAGCTGCCAGTTTGCGAGACAGTCTGCGAGGATGTCTCACAAGATTGGGAGGCCCCCCGGTGTCCCAATCCACCAGTGAACTCTCCTCCACTTCTTGCGAGCCTTCTTCAAGCCTCAACTCTGAATGAAGCAATGTGGATGATACATTCAAGATTTGAACAACAACATTGCAAGTGTTTTGCTATGAAACAAATATTGGGGGTGCTCCTTTTTGGAAGCGTATTGGTCCAGGGGGAAAGCTGCAACAACAGCTGGCTATGAATTCCAGATCAGAATTTGCCAACAGAATATGAGGTAAGGCAAATAGCAAATGCAAGTTCTTAACACAAATGCATCCGACAATCACATCCTTTGACAGGCTGCAACAGAACAACAAGTGTGAGGTCCAGAACAAGAGATAATTTAGAGCCTGGGCTTTGCAAAGGTGAGTTGTTGAATCTCGATTGATTTTCTGTTGAACTGGTCGAGGTCTTGTGAAGGTCGGATGTATGTATTGAGGATGTGTATTCAGTTGATTTGCCATAGCGGCATAGCGCAGGATAAAATTCATGCGTTAACATGTGAATGCTCCTCATTCTCATCTGCCTGCTCATCGGTGACAACAATTCAATAACTTATTCTTTGAGTAGATAGCCAAATTGTTTGGGATGATATCTATGACAAGGGGACAATAGTTGACATGTCATCTGCAACCTGTTTATCGCAACCAACACAAGGGCGTATCATGTCTTCTGTGCAGATTGGCATACATCGGTCTATCAATATGGGCTTGGAGGCCCGCCAAACATGTCGTTGACATGGTTCAAACATGGCAAATCATCCTGCATGGTACAGAATTGGTCCAACAGAATGTCTCTTCTGGTCCCGACAATCAACCCGAGGGTTGTGACTTCAATAGCCTCCACCATCGGCTCAATGTTGGGAATTGCTTCTAGGATATGAGTAAAACATAGGAAAAGCAACAAATCCCTCCTGAGCGGTTTTAATCAAGAAAATGTGTGTTTTGACAGTGGCTTGCTTTTCAGACAAGCCTGTTGCCTTCCACTGTGAATCCCATGCCCCTTCACATCCAAGCAAGCAGCTGTGCTGGCGCACTTGCCATCGCCGGAGCACTCACCGGCATGCTGCATGTCGCCCCCAGGGTCACACGGCGAAAGGAGAGGTCCTTCTCAGCAAACGCGGGCGTCACACGGACGCGGCGGACCTGCAGGTCGTGCCCAGTACAAACCGGCTCGATCGACGAAAACGGAGAACTACCCAGTACAATGTTCACATTATATAAAGAACAAACACCTTCGCAACATGTTGGAACACTTGGCTAGACATCTTCGACTTGCGGACCAAAATCCAGGGATGAAGTCGTGAGTAGACACATGAGTGAAGACCCCCCTGTTAGTTTGCCCCAACTGTTTCCTGCAATACTTACCACCTTTCAAAGAACCTTCAGGCACATTTTCCAAAAGTTAGTGCCCAATAACCTCAATATAGCCTGCAGCCTCCCCGCAATAAGTTTGCCTCGTTTGGGGGGCCATTCCTTGTCGAAATTATCTAGGATCAAATTTGGGCCATTGCACCTTCAGGATCTCTCATGATTGATCAGATGCCCCCCTTCCGACCTTCCTCCCGGGGGGGTTATAAATCAATAGAAATCATGTGTTGACATGATATACAAAAACCACCCTCAAAAAACAAGGTTGTTCTTTTCTGTATATGGGTAGACTCTAGAGCATCCCCACGAGACAAAAGCTCTTTCAGGACTGGGTGAGCCAACTGTTCTTGATTTTGCAAGATTTGGGTGACATATATTATATCATGGATGAAATACCTGACGTGAACCAGAACACGGCTTTACAATGGTTTGGATCTTGGGTGAGTTGAGTGAACCCTTGTAGTTTGATCTGTCGGTCCAAAATGTGCAGCAATGTTTGTGGGATCAAAGGATTCTTGTCACGGATAGTCTCGGACTCATATGTCTATCCAAGTCACTCCAGATTACTCTTTCAAACCTTCCAGGCAATTTCTTACACCATGAATGGTAGAAGGGTAATCCGGGTCGCGATTTAAAACCTGTAGGGAAACCTGCAAGCAAGCCACCGGCTGTTGAACTGTCTCAATCCAAGCAAGCGGACAGTGAATATAGTCTTTAAACAAAAAAGGGAAAATGTAATAATACAAATAAGGCACGCGAATACAACTGCATACTAATGTTACCATACACAATATGCCGCCCTGTTCACGTTCCATCTCCTCCATTTAGCATCATTTAACCATCAAACTGTGTGTTCCGTGCGGCACCTCGCGTTGTGGGCGCGGAGTGGGACGGCCAATGGGAGGTGGAGGTGCACTAGATGGCACACCGCCCCGAGCACAAGATCGGGGAATAATTTGTCAGTCACTCCATCCTACATGGGACTTTTGTGTTCTCAGTTCAAAACCCTCAAACAAATTCTCTCACCATGTGGATTCGTCTCGTTTGTGTCAGCAATGGGTTGGTCCCGACTGCTCAGCTGGAATGGCCTGCTGGCTTAGCAGTGGGCGGCCTGCCGGAGGACAGGTGGAGTTTCCCCGCTGTCTGCGGCAGGACTTGCAAGTCAAACAACACCAGTCCGGGGAATACAACATAGATGTCCATCCGTTTAATTTTTACAAATTGTATCTGAGGTGCCCATCTTGGATAGCCATGCCGACCACACGAAGTTGGTACTGTTCAACCAGCATGGAGCGGACAGAACATTTTTTGAGGTTCGGTTGGATGAGGTATTCTGCAAAAAACGCTTTATTCACACGTGCTTCTAGTACAGCCGGCCCGTACAACAGGCAATCGGGCCAAAGGGCACAGCACCAACAACCAAACATACACATGCCGTTCAAACGTTGAGGGATCCACACCGGCGACCCTCGAACAGAAAAGTCGATCCGCGATCCGGGTGTTCTTTGATCCCACGATCTTGGCAAAGACCCATGGCTGTGCAAATTGTAAAAACATATATAAAAATCTTACCTCGTGTCCGTCGTTTGGGAATTCGCATCCCGGGGCATAGCACCTCGCCTCGTTGTATACAGTTTGGAAAATACTGCCTCGCCTCATTAGTTTCACCTCGTGATGCAAGTTAATTCTGAGGGGCTTGGCTTGGGTGATGACGGGCGCGGGTAGTGGTAGTAGTGGTCGTCGTCGTCGCCGTCGTCGTAGGTCATAGGTATAGTAGGTATAGTAGGTGTAGTAGGTGTAGTAGGTAGTAGTAGGTAGTAGTAGGTAGTAGGAGGTAGGAGGTAGGAGGTAGGAAGTAGGAGGTAGGAGGTAGTAGGTAGTAGGTAGTAGGTAGTAGTAGTAGTCGTCGTCGTCGTCGTAGTAGTAGT